GGCACACTATGTTCTTGATTTGCATCATCATCATTTTGTCTTTGAACTGGCAATGGTGGAAGTTTTGGAGGGGCTGCTGATCCGGCAGGGGTAGTTGAGAACAAGTTGCTCAACCTTTCCTTAGCGTCCATGGCTAAGCTACTCATACCAGTGTTTGGCATGGGTTCTGCTCCAGCCTTGGTACCGACCGCTGATTTTGGGGTCATGTACAAATCGACATTGTTCCCGCCTGGTGAATCATCAACTTCAACGGCTCTGTCGACATTGATTTCCGGGGCGCTGTACTTGTTGAGCTTTTCCATCAAATCCTCCACTTGTCCCTGCAATTGGAAGTTGAGTTCAGCAGCTTGGTTTTCCTGCCTACTGCATTCCTCTCTGATTTCCTGGATTAAAGCTTGTTCCTCCTTCTTGAAACCTTCCATGCCATTCTTTGCATACTCTACTGTTTCATCCACGATTCGTTTACAGTCTGCCTCGAGGCTACCTCTGAGTTCAGAAAACCTTTGTTCGTACTGGGCTGTAACGTGGGCTACCTTTTGGTTGGCTCTTTGTTCAGCTTCCAGTGCAACTGCATTTGCAGCGTTTTTCAGCTTTGCGTTTGCATCGCTAAGTTCCTGTCTCAGTTTTGCTACCTCATGCTCAGTTGCCGTTTGGGACATTGAATACTCTGACACTAGGTGCTCATGTCTGCGGTCAGCTTCTGCACGTTGATGGGCGATTTCGCTAAGGCAAATTCCCTCAAACTCTTGGTACAGTTGCTGGACCTTTTGTTCCATGAGATGTGTGTGCCTCTCCTCTGCCTCTTGCCTGAAAGCGTCAATGTTACCTTCGTTGATGTAGGTAAGATTGTTTTGCACGAACTGAAAATATGCCTGGACGGGCTGAGTGAAGAAACCTTCATCTACCGACATGGGCGTGGGAGTTGCCCCAGCCGTCACCGGCTGAGATCCAGTTGATGCAGTCGCCATTGTTCCTGAAGCGGGTACGAGAGCGCCACCACCTGTAGCATCATGTGACTTGTCCATGGCTTTAGAGACTACGGCTGATAACCTGTATTTTCAGGTTTCAGCTGGGGTAATTCCTATTACACCCAAATAGACTAATAAACCTAAAACAAGGGAATAAAACCGTTAAGCACAGCGACTCAAGCACTGTTTTCTCCTGAGCCGCACAGCTGTCGTACATACCTATATTACAGTGTGTTTTATGTGAGGTGATTTTACAGATGTCCTAAGTCACAGTCGTCACCATAGGTTTCAATAGTCATGGTCATCCATGACGACTGGATGAGAACTGGGGTACCCCTATGACTTAGATTAAACTCCCATCTTCTTGTACATGTTACATGCCCTGGGTGTATTGATTCATATACCATATGAATCATATAATCATATACATATATTGTCTATATGTATGTGGTATAACAGCAAAAATCAACCGTAAACCGGTTTCCCAATTTGCCAATTTCACCAGTTTACCCCCCAAAAAGAAATTGCAAGTTACTGAATTGAGAACTGGTCATGTTTGCCGGGGGTTCCCACATTCATGAATTGACAACTTTAAGTTGCACACGTTTTTTAACTTCATCCATGGATGTTCCCATCCCTAAACGCACTCACCAGGATTTTCCCCATTTTTATGCTGATTTGCCATGGATCTTCACCCCAAACTCGCCTCTGTTGGCATAAAAACATAACCTTGGCGTACGCGGTGCCCGTACGAAGGACGGAGTTCTCATCCCCGTCATTGGTCGATAGGGGGTTTCACCGTCACGGTGTTGCAAGGGGTACCCCCAGTTTTAGAAACACACATGTTAGTGACTGTTAGTGGATATTCATGAGATTGTAATGTCAATATTTGGGATTTTAATGATGATATAATATTATATCAATAGTCTTCAGAGGATCATTGAGGATATGGGGTGTTCAAAGATGGAGGATTTACCCCTATGGCAATTCAAATGCGGAAAAGTAATTAGGTTTTAAAGCCATGGGATGGAATGGTGTATCCAATGTGTATCCTATTTTTTCAGAGAAATAAACAAGAAGACAAAAGAAAACGCATGAAAGGCTGGACAATAAGACAACTTGTGACTTGTGATGTTCTTTTGGCCGAAGATGCTGGTATCCCGTTGCTTTCCACTTCTCTTTGGAGATGCAGTGGTGACTCTGTTCTTTTGGAGTTGGGGGAAAACATGTGGACGAAGGATATGGGTTGATATGGGGGTTTCCTGAAATATGGGGATTGACTACTTTTGTCGTGGCCGCGACAAAAAGTCTATTGTGTGAAATAGAGGTACCCGTAAATCATCCATTTTAGTAGGATGTTCCATTGTAAACCATCCATTTTGAATACCCCCATTTTAGGAGACCTCCATTTGGGTATGTATCAAATTTCAACCTCGCAATCTCCTGGGTCTTGGATGTCGCCACCACCCATGCCAGCAAGTCACGAGCATTTTTGAAGGCCAAATTGTTCGAAGGGTTCGTTACTCCTGCGGCTTTAGGCTTGAACAGCGAGGATACTGTGGCAAGCAAAAGCCTTATCCAAGTTGCCCGAAATGCAGCTTCTCAACCCTAAATCACCCAATATGACAGTCCACCTGAAATAAGCTGTTTCCGAGAGGCTTCCCATGGGTTCCCCCTCTCCAACCATTTTGCTGACACCATGTTGAGGTCGCTTTGTGGACGAAGCTTCCACGCCTTTGGAGGGTTCGAACGGCGAGTTGCCCAACAGCAGAAAGTACGAGAGAATGCCTTAGGCTCCACAAGTCAAGACAGTCAAGAAGAGAAAACCTTGTGGATGGATCCATTTTGGGTTTGTCCAAAAATGGAGGATGATGAATCCCTGCAAATTCTATATTTGTTCAAAGAAATTGAAGGATGTGGCGCCACGAATCATGGGAAGGGAACGGGCCATGGAGCACTCAGAGGCTCCGCCAAGCAGCCAATGGCCCAAACATCCGCTGCAGCACTCGGCACACTCAGAGGCTCCAATTGCTCAGGGGCCTGGCCATCGAGGGTGGGTTTCTCCATGGCTTTGTGGCTTTGTTCAATAGGAAACATACCAAAGTTTTCATGTTGTTTTCCATGTGTTCCATGGCAGTTCTCATTCAAACATACTCAAATAAAAAGCTGTTTTCTGCTTCAATTCTAGGATTTCTGACTTGAATTCCCTCCTGTTGATGATTAAATCCCCACGTATTATGGTTAAAACCAGTTCTGGGCCAGCAGGCATGGCATTCTTGTTGAGTAGTCATCAGGTTTTCCCTCAACCCAAAATTGGTTCCTTAGCGCAATTTTTACCGCTACATGTCGTTGTTCATTGGCTGTAAGCTGTGTATATATATACATCACAATATGTCTTAACCAGTTGGTATACCCCCATTGCAAAACCATGAGCCAACTTCCGACCATCTGTAATCACAATCATATCATGTCATATATCACATATCACAAAAATCATACAGTATATCACTCGCATATCATATATCATACATCAATATATCTCACATCTCATATCTCATATCATATGAATCAATGAATTGTGGAACCAGACATGTTAAGACCTCCAAAGACCATCGTTAAAAACCAGATGTTTGACACCTCCACCCACACCCAGCGATGGCGCCTGACAGAAGAGCTTGGAGGAGGTCAAGGGTTTCTTTTTCATATCATCCTTGTTGCTCTTCCGACCTGGGGAGTCATGGAAAAGGTCTGAAAAATGTATCATGTACGGAAAAATGTATGGAACATGTCTGAAAAACTATGAAAATGTATGAAACATGTAAGGAAAAATGTATGGAACATATCTGGAAAGGTATGAAAATGTATGAAAAATGTAAGGAAAAATGTATGGAACATGTCAGAAAAGGTATGAAAATGTATGAAAAATGTATGGAACATGTCAGAAAAGGTATGAAAATGTGTGAAAAAGGTATGGGAAAATGTATGGAACATGTTTGAAAAGGTATGAACATGTATGAAACAGGTATGGAAAAATGTATGGACCATGTCTGAAAAGGTATGAACATGTGAGAGGGATTCATGCGGATTTCGACGAAGTTAAATAGCGATTCCACCGGTTAAAAATGATCAAGAACGATGTCGAATTAACCGTCAAGGAACGTGATGCAACAATCAAAATGTGGATCTGATCATCAAAAAAGGCGGAGTGGAACCGTCAAAAAATTGCAAAGTCAGAACTCTAACTGATCCCTGATCCCATCTCCAAGACCAAAAAAAAGTGGGTTTTCTTGGTCCATGGCTCCATGGCAAAAATCCTCTGGGAATTTCCATCTGCCACCAGGGAACTACGCCCGGAGCGCGACGTCTGAGTGCTGGAGGTGCTGGAAACTCTACTGGTCCGCCTCTCTATCAAGCCTTGTTGTCGGGAGGGTGGAAGGTAAACCGGCGAAGCAATGGCGCGATATTCTTTTTGAGAAGAAAGGAGACAATGATTACACTATAAATATATATATATGTATATGATATGTATAATATATTATATATAGTACACTATATACATCTGTCTATATGCACTGAGGTATCAACGTGTTTTTGCTGGAGTAGTTCACAATTGGACTATATACATTGGACAATTTTTGGGTAGGGTCTTCAAGTTTGAACCATGGCTGTTGGGCTGGGAACGAAGAAGACTGAAGTGGAATGGTGTTCACATGACGGGAAAATGTTCAGAAATGTTGCCGGAATGGGATGGGATGCAGAGTTCCTTTGTACATCTTTGTACTACTATCTAATCCAAGGAATTTGGGCTGGTTGACTTTACTCTTCATCTGGGTTTGCCTCAAGAAACGGGGGCAGCCACAAAACGGGCCATGTCTGGTTCTATCAAGCATCCATTTTTTGGAAATTACATCATCTAACCGACATCTTTGGGGCTAAATGTGAACAAATCAAAATAAATCATCTTGAAACATACCCATTTCGTGCCATTTCCCGTTCCAACAAAAATTGATGGAAAACCCATATGGGGCCCCCGCCTGGAGCGTTGGGGTAGCTGTAGCGCGTGGGTTTCCGCGGCGGTTCCCGGGCATATTTCTGCGCCAGGCCTTACAGATCTGGCCATATCGGATGGGGATCATGATGAACCGTCCCACTTGTGGGGTAGCCTATGTAAAAAGGGAAAATTCAAGGTGGCAAGTCAAATCCATCATTTTTTTGACGGAGTTTAAGTGGAATGAGGTGGAATGTAGTAGCCCATAGTCCCCCGGAACACATGAATCAAAGTGCTGAATGCCCCCCCAATGAACAGTTCCTACAAAAGGATCCAATACATTCCAATACTCAACTCTGATCATTTATTCTCAGTATCTAAGAAATGTCAAAAAATCACAGATCCAAGATTAGTCCTGGGATAATAATCCATAGGAAATCTTAGAGCTCCAACTAATAAATCTAGGATAATAATCCAGGATAATCCACAATCTATTTATCCTAGCAAAATAATCCATAATAAATTTTAGAGCTCCAACTAATAATTTAATCTAGGATAATACTCCATAATAGTCCATAATTTATTTATCCTAGGATAATAATCCAAAGGAAATCTTAGAGCTCCAACTAATAACCCTAATCTAGGATAATAATCCAGAATAATCCATAATTTGTTTATCATAGGATCATAATCCACAGACAATCTCAGAGCTCCAACGAATAATGTAATCTAGGATAATAATCCATAATATTCCATAATTTGTTTCTCCTAGAAAAATATTCCATAATTTATTTATCCTAAAATAATAATCCATAATTTATTTATCCTAGGATAAGAATCCATAGGAAATCTTAGAGCTCCAACAAATATTTTAATCTAGGATAATAATGCATAGTAATCAGTATTTTTTTTAACCTAGGAGACTAATCCAAAAACTATTTATTCTAGGAGAATAACCCATAATAAATTTATCCTAGGAGAATAATCCATAATTTATTTTTCCTAGGAGAAAAATCCATAGTTTATCCTAGGAGAAGAATCCACATTTTTTTCCCAGGAGAAAAATCCATAATTTATTTATCCTAGGAGAATAATCCGTAATTTATCTATCCGAGGAGAATAATCCATAACCTGTTTAACCTAGGAGAATAATCCATAATTTATGTATCCTAGGAGAATAATCCGTAATTTATTTATCATAGGAGAATAATCCATAATTTACTTTTCCTAGTAATTTCCTAGGAGAATAATCCATAATTCATTTATCCTAGGAGAAAAATCCATATATTTTTTTCCCTAGGAGAATAATCTATGAAAATCCCCCGAAAATGTCCAGAATGATCCCTCGGAGCTCCGGACCGAAGTCGATCATCTTCAAACGCCTCAAAACTGGGAGCTGTCTGATTTAAGATGCCACAACTCGGGAAATCCCGCTAAATCAACCCTTGGGATTTAAGAATTAACCAATGAAGAATGGATTAGAATGGATTTGGGCCTCTGAAAAATAGGATATAGCCCCATATTTTGCAATGTTGATGTGGAAAATGATGACTAACCAGTGGAAATTTAGGGGTAACCACCTATTTTCAGACATACTCGAACATCTCAAAGGATCATTTTCTTGATCGAAAATGACTACAAACCAATAAACATTCTATAGATGATGTTTTTCGGACTATGGTATTCTGCATATGATTGATGTTTATAATTTATAAATCATAAATACCAATCATGAATAGATATGAATAGATATCAATAGATCAATCATGATCATACCTATTGATCAATGTCGGACTATGTTGTTCAAAGGCATTCTCCATAGGTGTGACTCTGAGTGACATCTTGACACGCAATACGGATCCAAATGGATCACACAACATCTGTCCATGCTGTCGTATGGTTGACGGCACATGGCCGCAACGTCACCACACACGTTATTGAGCGCGAGTGCTATTCTTGGGGAGGATGAGGATCCAGAGGCTGATGGTAGCAAAGATCAGAATGCTGCTGATGACGATGAGGAGATTAGGACGACGCTGTCGACACTGACGACAACGACGACTGCAATCATGATCAAATTGGCCATGATGATGATCATTATTCATGACACAGATGATTCAGAAATATTCAGAACGACCATCACAATGACTGTGACAACATAACGTATGACAACATATGGATGTGGGTCAAAATGGAAGACCTAGGGGACCACAGATGTTAGTCTAGTTTAGTATTAACCATCCATAATTTTGGGGTACCTAATTTTGACCCATACCCATATGACAACCACCCTTATGATCATCACATATCATGACCAAAACGAAAACGGCCGGTGACCTGACAGTGACCAGGTCACCGAAAAAAAAAAATCCGGATGCGGTCGAGCAGCAAATCGTTTGGAGGAGTGGTCTCGTTCAAATCCTTTTCGAAAAGCCAATTCCTCGGTCGAAAACCCAGGGACTCTGAAGAATTGTGATTGTCTAGGAAAATTGGCTACAAATCTATCTTGGTTAATCATTTAATCATGATGATCCCTATTGAAATTGCATTTGGATGGCATATATGATATGGATTCATATGGCGTATGGGTCAAGAAATGACAAGAATGTATAATATAGAATCTGGGACCGCCGAACCACTGAACCATGCCATTTTTGGTCCATGCCTGCCATGTCTAATTCCGGTCTCGCAAAGGTCAACGCTCAGTCCATCGGCAGAAACCTTCCCATTCTGAGGGATCTTTTGGGAATCGCAGCCAGAACCGAATCGATGTCGGGGTTTCACATGCAAAGATTTGGATCATTATGGTTCATGGATTTGGGGATGCCTCATTATGATGATAAATGTTTTGCTGGTGATGCTGATGATGATGATGATGATGATGATGACGATGATGATGATGATGACGATGATGATGATGATGATGGTGATGGTGATGGTGATGATGATGATGATGATGGTGGTGCTGACGATGATGATGGTGATGATGATGATGATGATGATGCTGACGATGATGATGGTGCTGATGATGATGATGATGATAATGAAAATGATGATGATGATGATGACGAGGATGATGATGACGATGATGATGATGGTGATGATGATGATGGTGCTGTCGATGATGATGGTGATGATGATGATGATGCTGATGATGATGATGGTGCTGGTGATGATGATGATGATGAGGAGGAGGAGGATGATGATGAGGATGATGATGATGATGATGATGAGGATGATGATGATGATGATGCTGATGCTGATGATGATGATGATGATGATGGTGATGGTGATGGTGATGACGAGGATGAGGATGATGATGATGATGATGATGATGATGATGATGATGCTGCTGGTGGTGGTGGTGGTGGTGGTGATGGTGATGGTGATGTTTTAAGCATTCTTTAGCGTCATGAGGAAGGTCCTCTTTCATTCGGCGTACACCCTGCAACATTTATCAAACAGGTCCGAATTGAAACCTGCTGGGTCACATCATCATCACTTTCAGTACCATGGCAGAGATCCTGCTGTGCCACTCTTGAAGCGTGATGCAACAACCCCAGTAGAAATCTTACACATTTCATATGCATGTGTCTCTATATCTGCATACTTTCTATATGAAATCCATGGTCACCGCAGCCACCGCAGTCACCGCCCACCCAGGACTGGATTCGAATCGCTGAGGTCCGTACTCTGGACAGATGTCGCAATGTACAAATCCCAAGTTGTGCAAGTAGGCAACCGCCTGCGCGGGAATCATCGACACTTGCTGTCAATGAGAAGAAAAGCTTCCAAATCTATGAAAACCCCACGGTTCATCTTCATTCTCCCTATTAAAACAGAATATGTTGGATTATGTTGGGGGCAACAGCAGAGTGTTCAAAACGCCCGCGCTTTTTTGTGTCCAGCGACGGAGACTTTTTCTGGGTCGCTCCAAAATGGGATTCCAGTTGACCCACGAAGCGAGTCATGTTATTTAAGAACTCTTCGGTAAACTAACATGTTTCTCAAAATCAGCAAGTTTGAGTAAATGGTCATATATGATCATATGACTTAAATTAAGAGCCATCTTGCGACTTGCTGTGACTTGCCGTGTGCCACCTGTACCATCTGGTAGACAAGGACCGCCACATGGGCTTCAGTAAAGATGCGACCTCAGGCCGTGTATCCCAGTGCTTCATGATGCTTTGAGATTCAAAGTCACTATAGTCACTCTGTCAGCGCCTGCCATTGTATCCATTGTTAATAAGATTTGAAAGTTTCGCAAATCATCCAACTCATCAAAAGTTGCTTACAACTTGCGACGACTTTGCCAACCGTTTTGCCGATTTTCCCAGCTTTCCCAGCTTTCCGCGGTCCCAAGTTGGTTATTGCTCTCACATCGGTCCCCGGCTCCCCATGCGAGCCAGGTTGTTGAGATTGCCTCCCCGGCACATCTCCATGACCTGAGGGAACTGTCACTATGGATCCACCCTGTGATGAATCAAGTCGTTGAAGTTACGCCCATGAATATCCATGAGTACTCCCATGACTCTAGTTATAAGACCTTAGTTGGTGAACTATACTATAGTCACAACATGTCACAACTGCCATAAACTTTGCCATAAACATCCATAAACCATACTTATTGGAGTTGTGATAAACCATTATAAACCAATTTTGCTATCGTTCCAGGATGTTCGATAATGTTCCTCCCATACTTTCCAGGTTTTCCAACTCTTCGATCTCGACCCTGCTTCTCAAAATACTCAGCATTGCATGCTGAACATATCTGAACATAATTACAGTATATAACCCATATTATATATTATATAATCCATATTAACCTCAGAATGTCCCATATTAACCCATATTATATATTATATAATCCATATTAACCTCAGAATGTCCCATATTAACCCATATTATATATTATATAATCCATATTAACCTCAGAATGTCCCACATTAACCCATATTAACCCATATTAACCCATATTAACCCATATTAACCCATATTAACCCATATTAACCTCAGAATCTTGTAGGAAACCCATAGGTTTTTGATGCTTTTTGCCACCCTCCAACCTGGTGACTTCAGTGCTGAAAAATGTCGGCCAAACAAACGCCGAAGGGCCAAGTAAACACTTGTGGAATCCTGCCAGGTCAGGCGACCGACGCTACGGATGAGTTTTCAAATGGTGAACCGTCCATGAGTCATGGGGATACAGCCAATAGCTATGGAAAATCCCATGGAAAATCCCATGGAAAATGGATGATCTATGGAAAATCCCATATGGAAAATCCAAAAAAATCTGGAAAATCCCATGGAAAATACCATAAATGATGCTTATAATATGGAAAATCCCTATGGAAAATGGATGATGCCAATGGGATGCCAAAAATCCATCCAAACAACAACGGTTCTGGATTCTGAACAAGGCGAGTTGTGTCCCAAAAGCCGTCCTCAAAAGCGTCCAAGGTCTTGCAGATGTGCGGATGGTCCAGTTCCCTCAAACGTTCCACCTGGAAATCTCCACGAAACGACTGGAGCTTTTTTCATGGGAAAATTTGGCAACCAAAAAGGGAACATATGCCGTAAATAAATGGATGTTTTTTTTACTGGGAAAAAACTATATAATTGATGAATCGTCCAATGCCATGTTTGACAAAATCTTAGTCCCCTAATATTTTGGTCAGGGGTTAACAATCTAAGATGGAGGTGCAGTATCAAAAACAGGTGAAGGTAGCCATCAAGAACGGAGAGTTAACATTGTGCTTTCGATTCTGAAATGATATCAACATATCAACATGAGATGGTATCTTTACCTATCATTCAAAAAAAACCTAGCTCACATGTTTATCGTAGTTAACATTTTTTAATTTTTTGGCCAAGATTGCATCAAATATCCACATACTGATGGATACCAAATAAACAGATCCAGGAAAAAACACCTGATGTTTTGCTCCGGGAATACTGTACTGAAAAAGGGAAAAGGGAATAAAAACATGAAAAACATGCCTGGTTATTATAGGTTCAATCACCAACAATCATCCCAAAGTTGGTTTTTGATGTTTTTGTAGGTGATTAATTGAACCCTAGGGATAGAACATGATAAAACATGATAAAATAATCCCTAGTCCTTGGGGCTTCAATGGCCCACTGCGGATCCCCTCCGAGGACTGCACGTCTGCTCTCCAAGATGAACTGGATAGCAATTTCCTCAGACTCTGTCCAACCAAAGGCTGGGTCCCCGTGAGGAGTTCAAACGCCCCTGAAAAAGGCTGGAAGTATCATGGAAAATATGATGGACCGCAGGAAACTTCCCAGCAGCGGAATTTCATGGGGATGGTTCAGAATCAACAATCACCAGGAGCATATGGCACCACAGCTAGAAGAAAGAGCCCCAAAAGAAGGTAAGTTAGGTTCTCAATCTGACTTTCACGGATGGCTTTCGGCTTCTCAACATGACCCCAAAAGTCCAAAAAGAGTCTGATTTTATCTAATGCATACTGTCCCATGGCTGTTGGATGGCAACTATACAAAAAATATGTTCTTTAATGTTTAGAAAAACATGAAAATCAACTCCCCATGTGCACAAAGTCTCAAACAAACAATGGGGGTCACAACACATGGTGCATACCTCTTGAATACTCGTGTATATTGACGTGCCTGACAGTTCCATATACCCCAAATGGCAATTTAAATTGGCCGAAAATCATAATCACCCATTGATGGGGTTACTCTATTTTCAGACAAATCCACATCAGAGTGTTACGTAAATTCGCGCACATATAATATATATATATATATATATATACGTCTTACTTCTTTACAAAAATATGTGGTTTATCAAGAACAAAAATGTGGAAACAATGCACTATTAGGACAAAAAATATCATATACATATCAATCATATTATATATATATATTATAAAAATCTTATAAACTCCATATATATATATATACATATGCATGCATGCATACATACATACATATGTAGATACATGAATTCTATGTATCAACATATCTACTGTATTCTCCGGGTCGGGACATTGCCGTCCCGTAGAGAGAGGGGCCGAGTCACTTGCTGATGCGCTTCAAGGCGCAGACTGAGTCGCTGGGCACGTGGACGCTCTCCACCTCAAAGCATTTATTTGGGAAAAATAAGGGGAAATCAACCACAACAAATAGCTATGATATGTATAGTGTATATATGTATATACACACTATATATCTACATATACATTATTATATAATATGTGTATATAACTGTATATATACTATATGAATATGTGAACAAATTGATCCTTGTTCTGGATTATCCCTTTTGTCTGTAGTACCAGTAATGCTGATAGCGCCGGGCAATCTCAGTGCATGGCACGCGGACAGCGTTCTTATTTTCCTCGCGCAGGGACTTGAGCCAATATCATTGGCGGTCCATGCATGACTGTACACATGTTCATCATGTGCAGCTACACTGTTACCTCGTTCCCCTTCGCACCCCCCATGCCTATGGCATCTTCGAACCATAGGCACGAGAGTGGGAACTTTGAATTAGATTCTTCTGCTACTCGAATTACGCCTATGTACATAAAACATGCCATTCGGCTCCCCCTTCCCCACATACCCGTCGGGAATAATGGTTCAGGGTTCGCCTACTCCTTGGCTGTCGATGCATCGACGCTTCATCAAGCTGTACAACGCGAATTATTGCTAGCTAACATCTACTTTTCTACGTTGGCTAAGCATGCCACTCACCCGTCGGGAGAAATGGATCGCCTCGCTACCAAAGATTTACAATGCTAACTAACGAATTCACGTGCACAATGCAGAATCTCGTGCAGATTGGGAATATCAAAAGTCTTGAACCTAAGCGAATTAGTCTAATGCCTCGCTCAGTGTCCACTCAGTTGGTCTTTTCCTGATCATCTGTTCATAAAGACGGTAAACATCTTGTAGCCCAGTGATCATTTTGACGGATCGAAGCAATTGGTTTACTGCTCACGGCGGACTTTCTTCCATTGAGGTGCTGTTGGAGTTCTCTCCCATCCTGCCGCACGTTTCGGAGCAGCTTTCGGCGATGAAGGCTTTGCAGGCGGTGCCTTTGATGGTTCATGGGATTTCGGCATAGCCTTGCCCTTTGGTGCGCTAGCCGATGAGGATGATGCTGAACCAGTGCCTTCAGGTGTCTGTGAAGGTTGTGCGGGTGGTTTAGCAAACTTGGAAGCTGCAGTATGTCCAACCGCTTTAAATACTTCACTCACCACTTCGTCGCCAAGGGTTGGAGCCATCTTCGTTTTCATCTCGGTCTTTCCCCTCTGCGCCTCGGCCTCGGCCAGCTGAATAGCATAAGCCATCTTGCTGACAAAGTTTTGAGGTAAAGGAATGCCACATTGTTGGGCGGCAAAGAGCAGTTCTACTCTCTGTTCTTTCTCCCTCAGGCTCAGATATACCGAGAAAGCTGGGAGTTCGATGCAGTTGGGGAAGCCGTGGCTCCCGGAGCGAAAGAAGGTGTATGACTCGTGCTCCGGAAAGGTTCCTTTGAGCAGTCGTCGAAGGAAATTGCTGATGGTTACTCGCATCTCCTGTTTCCCTTGGGCATCAGCCTGCATTCGGTTCATTGGCATGAGAAAGCCTAATGACTCAGGAGTGTACCCAGCGCGTACCAGAAATTCCATCATCTTCTCATAGATCTCTAAAGTCTTGATGACAGGCATCATCATGTTTCTTGGTCGCCCTGAGTATAACTTCTCTCCTTCTGACCATGAATTCCTCTTCCCTTTCTCCTGAAAGAGTTCATCCAACTCCAGCTCCGTCGGGCGCTTGAGGTTGCCATCCTGGTCTTCTCCTGTATAAGGACAGAAGTCGTCCAGGTCCAGCCGGACTCGCTTGGTTTCCGTCATCATCTCATAGTACTCCTCTGGGGTCAGAGTGACTCTCTGTTTGTAGTAGAGCCTGAACATTGTGATGATCTTTGACATGACGGCATTGTCATACAAGTGAGCCGCGGCCTCGGAGACATCATTGTTGATAAGTCCGTCTTCTGGCATACCCTTGCTGCCGCTCTCGAGGTTCTTGGTCCATGCTGGAAGTTTGGAAGAGGATTCATCTTCAGGTTCGACTTCCATTTCATCGTCGTCTTCTTCAACGATTTCGTCGTCTTCCTGTTGGGCTTCCTCCTCCTGATCCATTTCCTCATCATCGCCTTCGTTGTAGTCGACCTCGTCAGGATTGAAGCCATAGTCGTTGGATTCGGATACGTTTTCTTGTGCTTGATGGACCGTATCCTTGAACAACGATTCTTCTTGTCGACGAACTTCTTCATCGATTTCTTTCTTCGTGGCCTCATCTTCATCGTCTTCAGGAGCTTGTAGCCGATAGGGACGGATTCCACAACTTTCAAGTTCCGTCCAGCAAACTAGACACACTGCTAGTTTTGTCGGCGTCTCATTGAGACAGTGAGGACAATGGCGGCAACCTGATGTTTGCACCCTTTTGCGTTCGACTATGTAGTCAATCAGCTTGATGCGGGCCAGGTATTGCTCTTGTCCGCCAGGCTCGATGAGGTTGTTCTTGAATTGGTTGACGATGTTCATGGCATCCATGGCGGTTTCGTCAAACGGTTGATCTTCGGCGTCGATGCACTGACTTGCAACCCTCAAGATGGACTCCTTGGTGGCTACCGTTCTTGATTTGATAGTTCCAGACCGGACTACCTGGTCGTCGCCCGACGGGACGAACAACCGGAGCCATGTCTTATTGTTTTGGTCCTTTGGGTCCTGAATCCATCCTCCTTTGATTGCCGAGAACGGGATGATCTTTGGTGAGACGATCTGTCCCGAGTCAGTCAGTCGACCGCCATATTCCACCATCAAGGTCTCGGTCGGGACGAACAAGCAAATGTAGTCCCCTCTTCGCGTATCAACGCTCTTCGTGATGGTCCATGATCTGTGATCCCATGGCACATACGGGTTGAAGAACGTGAACATCCGATGACCTTCTCCAAGACCTCCTGGAATTAATCCCTGCCTCCAAATGCTTCGAAGGTTGGTCTTCTTGGTGATGTGGAAACAAACCGGTAACGACAAAATAGTGTTGGGCGCGATTGGATGTGAAAGTAATGAGGACAGCAATGAGACGTCGTCCCTTGAAGATCCTTCTTTGTGCCCCGTAGGAGCACGGACCGCCACAGGGTAGAGCAGTAGACCTTCATCAGGAATGTTCGTGTCCGCATCGACTTTGTTGTCAATGCATGTCAGGCTGGTGCGCTCAATGTCCTTGTTGATACCAAATGCCAAGACTTGTTCACGAACGCGACGTCCATACCGGGCACAGTGGAACATGATCTTGAAGAGCAATGTCATGCGGTAGTTTGCCTCATCGACATTCCATGCATTCTGATCATTTGCTCTTCCTTTTGGAGCAAGGAATACATGTGGCCAGCGTGCGTACTCGTGCCTCCAGATGGACTCACATTTGAGCACCTCCTCGATGGGCACCCAGCCGGCGTCATCACATGACAGACTCTGTTGTTCTGATACCTTCCCCACGTTGTGCCGCAGGATCCTGTTTAGTGATGAACTCACCTTGTCCTCGTAGGTATTGAGCCGGTTGCCAGTCTCGAAGCGGTAGTTGGCCGCATATTCTACACCTCCAAAGTAAGAGCAGTTGAAGAAATGGGCCCCCGTAGTCGGGATGATTTTCAAGAAACCATCTTGCGGCGCCTCGACTCTCTTGTAGAAGGGCTTCCTGATGTTGTTATCAGAGTAGCTTGCCATGAAGTCTGGCACTGACCAAGAGTCACCTCCTCCTCTGACAATAGCGTCTCTGACCACTTCGTTGAGGTCAACAATGTTCTGTGGTCCTAGCTTTGTAACATCACGTCCTTCTATGCAGAATCTACCATACTCATCGAGGTCACCAACTTCAGACATAGTTCTGATGCTGTCGTACCATTGGTGTTCACTAAACCTCGATTTTGTAGGTTCATCCGTTTGCCCCGACCCATCAGTAGCACCTGAACCGTCCTTCTTGTGCTCAGGAGGCTCCATATCGACGTCATCAGATGTTGGACTATCAGCCTCGAGCGACGCTCGGACGGCCTTTAGCACCTTTCTGACTTCATCCCTCTTCTCATGTTCACATTCAAGATGGCCATGTTGGGTGCTACCACAATACAAGCACACGTTGACATCCTCAGAGACGGTAAAGAGTTTCCCCAACGCATCCAAAAGTTGTTGTTTCCCGGAATTCTCTGAGTCCCTGACCACATCGGTGGGGTCGTTCGCTGGCTCATCAGCTTCCTCCTCCCCAGGGTGAGCCGACGACTCGTCACCTGGCTTGGCATCGGCATCAGTGCCCATGCTGGCGTCACCCCCTGTGATGTTGTTCTTCCTGCGATAATGAGAGAATACCTGATCCTTCTCCCAGTCCGTGAGGCAGCAGAAATTGGCCAGCGAGTCATATCCGGGGATTGCGTGGATGAGCTTCATGACCCTTTCGGCTTCTGCAGTTTGCAGTGTGCAGTCGAAGGATCCCCGTCTCTTGTCATTGATGGTGCTCGAGGTTCGGGAGGTCGATGTGAATTGAGCCAGTGCCTTTTCCAGTCCATTGAGATACTCAGCTGGATCAACGCTAGCATTGAAAACATCCACGACTCCCTTGGCCATATTGGCCACGTCCAAGACACCAAGCCAGAACTCGATGATATCTCCAGTTTTCTCGGCAGATGCACGGGAGAATCCAAAAATCTCGTTCCTCTCCTTCACCTCGGGAACGGCAACCTTTTCGAAGAAGTCTTTGTATGCGACATTTCCGCAATCCTTTGTGACTCTATAGATCAAAAGCCACTTCTTTGCAACATCATCGAAAACTCTTTCGCGATATATGCTGAATTGCTTGCCGCGTCCGTTCCGGAAAATTTCCAGAGCTTGCCTCTTCGAAATTCTGACTCCTCCCATGTGAGATAGAGATTTCATCAAGTGCTCCCCATACGCCAACGATGCATTTGAAATCAACGAAGACGCAGTAAATGTGAGCCATGTTTGGAATCCTTGATTGATGTCAACAATGTCAACACCAAGATCCTCGAATGCAACCTTCAACCTAGCTGCAAGGAGTAGTACGGACTTCCTGGCCTCC